TGCTTCTGTCTGCTCACCCTACTATTGGCTATCGTGATATTTCAACCTTCCCTACCTCTTTGGGAGTTTCCGAATTGAACGTACTTTTATTATTCAACAATTGTAGTGTAAAGACACCAATTAGCTTCTGAGAGACGTGTTAATATTCCCAAATATTCTAGGACTAACTTGATCCTAACATGATGCATTCCGTAGCTAGCGTCTAAATTACAACATTAGAAACATAGCTCATAACAGTTTCACAAAACGTAATCGCAAGCACAGGCGCCAAACGCATAGGGCAGAAGGAGAACGCAACCCCCCATTTTTTTCTTTCTATTTAGTGGACATGTATTATTATTAAGAACTATATTCGATTGACTGAGAATATTTCTCCCTCCACCTTCTAAAAAAAATAGGCTTTCATGATTGCAAGTGTTGTCAGAGGAATCTCACATTGTTAGTTAGGTAGCGGAAGAAAGCAGTTATTCTCTAATGAAGGGGAGAAAGGAAGATTGTGAGGGGAATAAATAATTGTGAGAAGATAAAATTGTTTCATATGTATTAAAAGCGGATTTTCATGAATACTGTTGCATTTATAAATCCAGTCAGGACTTTTCAGACACACACACATATATATATAAATGAAACAAAGTTTTTATTGGATCATTACACTGAAACAATTGAGAATATAATTTATATTTCGATGTAATTAATTCATATTCAGTTTACTTACTTAAAGTATTTTGCTTATTTTATATATCTCTTTATTTATTTATTAAAAACCAAATCATCCTATGAATTATGTATCTTCGCATGTAATCTAAATCTCTGTAAATGAGTCAAAAGATGTAGAACAAGAAGGAATATGAAAAAAAATATTTTTATAATAGCACACGATCGTGTTTATAACTTCTGGTTTATGTAAAACTACTGAGACGTACTTCTATATTTTAGTCATCTACCCTTGTGAACTCGACTGATTTCCATGACCTCCAACCAAAATCCTGACATCTGTTATAAGATCCGTCTACATTGCATCACAGTTTGTTTGGAGAAACAAATAGCTACTTATCTTGTATATTCAGCGCTATTGGCTAAATAGTGTCAAGTTGTAATAAAAAGCTATAAAGTTAAAGCTGAGTTCTGCTTTGGTTTATTCTGTTGCGAAAGTCATTATGTTAACTACTAAAGTGACAGTGTTATTCAACGACAACCGCGAAGAGAGTGTTGCCAATAATAGGATCAATAAGTGAAAGGCACTGTGGTTGTTTTATGCTGAAAGACATTTTATGTTGTTCGAATATGGATGAAGGTAAGAGTAAAAGTTTCCAGGGAACAGGTTAATAACTTATTTATATGATATATCTCTAAACCATTGAATAAATGTCGAGCTGATTAGTTGATTAAACCCTTGGAAAGGAGAGTCGTTTTTATGAAACTAGACACATAAATTATTTTTAATAAACTATGTCACTTGTATCTTTACCGGACGATGCGCGATAAAGTTAATATTTTTATGTGACGAAAAAACAACAACTCGTATTTTAAACTAGCATAACTAGAAAAAAAAAGAGTATAATGTTAAGTATGTTCTTCTGATTAATTGTTCAAGTTTTCGTGCAAGAATTTCGCATATTGTGAACTTGCGTTTCAGGTGTGGCCACTTCATGGCTAGCGTACTGATTTACGAAAGATAGGGTCCACGGTTCGCACCCCATTGCTTTCTGCGCTATGGGGTCTTAGGTGTATTATAGGAGTGACATTCAAATTTTACTATTCGGTCTGACAAGAATAGCACAAAAGCTGGGAGTGGGTATTGCTGACAAGCTTTTTTTCCTGTAGCTATCAGTATTTGCTGAAAATTATTGACGGCTAGTGTAGTTGTCCCATGTGTAGCTTTACGCATATGCTCGAAACAAGTAAACAACCGTGAACGTGCACTAATACATTAGCATAGACAAAGAGCACATACCGCAAGGATTGTTCTATAAGGCTTATTTTATCCTTGCTTGGTCTTGTTTCTGTCTCATGATCTCAATTTGAGGAGGATTATAAATACTAGAACAAGAATGAGTTTGGGGAGAGAGGTTATCTCCTTTGAGTATTTGTTCTGAGAATGATCATTCATATAATTTACCTAATGATTGTGAGGTACAGTACTAACCTTGATTTGAACTAATACTTTGATATCACCGTTATTCTTGATGAATATCTCAATGAGCTAGAGAATGAAATGGTATTCCTACTATTCGATATGAAGACATGCTGGTCAAGTGACTCAAGTTACTGGATTTCTGTTTGGTTGCACTGTTGAAATGGGTACTGGGAAATCAACGCTCTAATTCACTAAATGGATTATGAAAGCCTGCAGAAAACAGTGGTATGCTTTGGACACGTAAGCCTTACGAAGAAACCTTTTGCAGTTGAAATTACGCTGCAGTGCTTTTTTCAAGATGCATTGTTTTCAGATAGAGCATGACTTGAGATGTTGATATGGACTGCAACTATGTGGTGAACCTACACAATCTTTTTGATCTAACGTACTCAACCATTGTAGAGGCTGACCAGTTACGGGTAAAACTTTAGCACTAAAACTTTTTGTTTATTTGCTTAGTTGTGCTTATTTTTTTACTTAGCTGACTGTATTCGTTTTATCTTCTGTATAATGTTTTCATGATAAGTATGATTACAGGTATGATACTTTGCTGTTAATCATCAGTGTACTTGAATACAACAGACTAAGTTATTTATGCTAAATTTTGGCTCCTTGACCAAAGAAGTTGTTTATTGCAAAGTGTACTTTGAATATGTTTCTTTTTCTCTTTGATTTTTTGGCGTTTTAAAGTTTGTGAAACGTGATCGTGTGGAAAGGCATTTCCTGAGACCATGTTGAACTAATGGAGAAGAGGAGGAACTTTTGGTTGAGATGAAAACATGATCTGAAAATATAGCAAAAACTAATACAGGCTCTCTCTTGGACTAAGAATGTTTGTCAGCCTTTGTGAGAGCTATTTCAGCATTACTGATCTGCCCTCAAGATTGAGAGTCTAACAGATGGCTAGAGGAAATTCCAGCTATTGGTTACTTTCAGGAGCATAGGGCAGCAAAGACAGGTAATGCTGGTACTAATCAACCTAGATGTCCCGAGATATAATGGGAGATATCTATGAAAATATGAAGTGTTTGTTAACTAGCCCAGTTATCATCAGGTACTGTTTTCAGTAATTTGTTCCCAAGAAGAGTGATGAATATAGTTCTTTTAAAAATGTTATGATGCTGCCTAGAAGAGTAGCCATTATCTTGCTATGATCCAGTGGATCCTCAGAACATGTAGACAGAAGCATTTCTGTCTAACAACGTTCACTGACGAGTGATGACACTCCAAAATTGCGCTCACTGGCTGAAGATCTGTGACAACAACAACCTTGAATTTCTGTATTTTCTTTCAGTTCAGCATGGATGCATAGTCACCGAAGTAAGCCACTTAACTTTTCCTTTCTCTGGTGCACGTGGTATGTGAATTCACTAATTTTCAATTAGACGTGTTTTCTTATAGAAAACATAACTCGAACATTGTGAGATGTTTGTCAGCGGATTGAATAATGACTAGGAACTGCCATGTTTTTGTTCTTAGACAACATAACTCGTGGCATTGTGATATGTTTGTCAGCGAGTTGGATAATGACTAGGAACTGCCATTCTTTTGTACTCAGACAATAGTAGATGAAGGTGTCATGAGAAATTTGTAGTTGTGTGCAAACCTGGCTTTTTTGTGTTATTGTGTTTTGGTATATATAGCCAGTTCCCCTAACGTTAGATTAGAACTTATGACTTCAACCTTCAGCTTATAATCTTTGCTGTCTTTAACTTTTATTTTTTCAGTTCTACTAATGGATAACTTTTATTAGACGTGGTTAACTTTTGTATTGTTTAAAGTTAGTGTTTTAGCTTTTAACTCTTTGTGGTTGTTTTACTTTTAGTTTACTTACAAGAGATTGCACACCAAAATGGTAAGAACATTTATTAAATGTTTCGTGACACACAGGAACGTCGAGAGCCAGCACTGGCCCCGGGGCAAATATCTTCGCCGTGCCCCCTTTCTCCCTCTCTTTTTTAACATTTTGAAGAATTTATTAAAAAGAAGATCCTAAACTAGGACAGGAGCGAGCTCATAAACCAGACAAAATCATAGCAGCAGCCGTTTTTACCTCACAGTATAAGCGTGAAAACGTAACAACAACGTAAAGTAATAACAAATATCTATTAAATCTATAAAGCAACAAATACATATTAATCATTACTCAAATTATTATTTCAGTCGTTCTGAATGTATCAAGCGTCTATATGCAAAGAAAAGCCAAAACTATGGTTTTTATCATTAAACGATGATTTAGCCTAAAGATGATTTGCGGGTTTTACAGCATAACCAGGTTTCATTCGTTGCCTCCTTTGCCCCCCCCCCCTGTCAACAGGCCTGATGACACATCTCTAGTGAATTCCATATCCATCATAACAAGCTTGCCCTTGTGTTTGTTTTGACTTTGTTGTTGATAAATAGAGATAATTATATGTGCACCATCTCGGAGAAAAGCACGACATACCAAAACTATGTTTTCTGAACCTCCGGTTAGTGAACCCTATCTGACTACTTTGAGGGAAACCTATGCCACAGAAATTAACACGGATTGTCTCTACTGCTTTGTTTATGAATTCCTCTGTTTTAGGAGATGTATCTATAGGTGACTTCTTTTGTTCTGTTTTTTCTTTGGTTTGTGTGTTTATTTTCTCTTCTTGTGCTAGTGTAGTTGTTTCCGATATGGTGTGGGTTTTTAATGCTTGTGCGAATGTCTGTACTGTAGACTGTTTGTTTGTATTGCCATTTTGTTGAAGGTTTGGTGTAGGAAGCAATGGTGTTTTTCTTTGTGTGCTGTATGGTTCATAATTTTGAGCTTGGGTGTGTGTGTTGTTCTGCATATTGTTTATTCTTGTTACAATAGTTTTATATTTCAGGCATCCTTTATAGTTTGCCGTGTGTTGTTGTTGGCAATTGCAGCAGTAAGGTTGTGGGTTATTTCGTGGGCATTCGCTGTTTCTGTGATCGCCCCCACACCCTACTACTACCGCTGGTATTTTGGTGGGTTCTACTGTGTATTTTCTGTACCAAAGTGTGATACCATTTAATATTATGTTTTGTATGTCTTGTGTTACTTGTACTTTTATGAGGTTAGTTAGTTTCTGTGTTTTGTTTGAGAAGATCCGCTCAACTTTAGTTGCTAGTATGTTTTTCTGTGTGAGCTCTGTTTCTATTTCTTCGTTTGTGATGCTAGTGTGTATGTCTTTTATCACGAAAGACTTGTGGTTTATTTTGTTTCCGTTGTATCCGTTATTTTGTTTGTGTATCGTTATGTTTCCGGGTTCAAATGCGTCTTGGGGCCATGTCTTCAGAAATTGGCTGAGGTCAGCGGCCTCTGACCCTTTGACCAGGACACCGCCCTTGGCTAGTCGTTTGATTGTTGTGATGTGAACTTTCGGCTT